TGCAGATGGCAAGTGGGTAAGACTTTTTATTCCACTTGGCAGCAGGAAATAAAAGGTTAGAGGGAAGAAAAGCCCCGGGACAGACATCTCTACCAGCCTCGGAGGACATCCCTTCCAGCCTCGGAGGACGTCCCTTCCAGCAAGCAGCTTTAGTGGCTCTCAAGAAATTCAACAAGGGATTTTCTTCTTGACTACAGTCCCTCGAGCCATTTTCTTACAATCTCCCCCCCAATTCACTTCCCAAGAAGTGCGGTTAATTACTGAGGGTGGAACCCTGCATACCCGCCTGATATCCTGCATTTGTGTGTGTGTTTGCTCTCGGCCCCGCGGCTTCGCAGGGAAGATAGCAGCGTTTGTTTCTTATCTCCTCCGGTTTTCTGCCTCCCTTGTGTCTTTGTATCGCATCTCAGTTATGGTGATTAAATAAACTGTATTCAAAAAGCATTCCAAGCTGGGTTTCCATGGCGTTTCCAGCCTTTGCTGCTGATGATTTAATTTCGCAGACCCCTTGCCCACGCGCTCCCGGGGTCTCCCGTGCCCTGAGGGCAGGACGGGAAAACTACAGACCCACAAAATGAGACCGTGGCATTCGCCATCCTCCTTTGCCATTCGGCGTGGCCGCATTTGGATGCAGACGTGGGTTCAGAGGGGAAATTGCAAGGGAAAGACCCAAGAGAAACCATCTCCGAGGTTGCATGGTGGGAGTTGGCAAAACCAAGCACCCGCTTGAGACGACGCTGAGGCCAAAGTGCCGCCTCTGCACCTGGAACAAGGATGAACCGACCTCTGCGGTGCCAGCTCTGCACCTCCTGGGCATAAACCGCTTTTGTCCTGTCTCTCCAGCCACCGAACCTCGCGGCTTTTAAAACCACGGCTTGACTGGCCTCACCCAGAAGCTGCGTCGGCCTGAGATGGAACCAGCTTGGTTGCCCAGCTGATGGGCAGGAGCAAGATGATGGAGGGAGCATCACCGCCGGCCACGCTGGCTGCACACCGCTGCGGGGAAACTCATCTTTCTCGTAAAGGGGAAGGATGGGAACCTTCTGCTTTACCGAGGAGCCACTCGGCGAGTCCTGCTCTGCGATGAATAGCGCCGTCAGCGCAGATAGAGGAGGGGGTGGACCTCCCCATCTATATAAAGCGAACCCGCTAAGCCGGCAGTCTTTGCAGCTGCGAAGTCCAGGCGGGGGTAAGGAGAGGGGGGATTTTATTGCCGTGTTATTTCGTAAGGTAGCCCGGGGGGGGTGGCGGGAGGGGGCTGCAGAGGGTGACCTTCTCCATCAGCCCCGGGGCAGGACGACCGCTGTGTCCCTGTACACATCCCAAGCGCCGCATCCCAAAACTGGAGACAGAAGGCCCCACTGGAATCAGCTGTGTGCACTTGGGCACGGTGGCACCTTCACAATGCTGTACATCCACCGTGACACTAATGTCACCGCGTGGTGCTGCCAAGGCGCACCCAAATGACTCCATGCCCTCGGCGTCTCTCCTGCCCCCGGGGTGCTGCTCATCGCCCACCGTTGTGTTTCCCTCCTCCAGGGCCAGCCTGAGGATGAAGAATCTCCTCTTTGCCGTGCTCTTGGTTTGTGGTAAGTGCCCCGGTTTCACCGGGCCAGGCTGGGATCTCACCTGTGTGGCAAAAAAGATGTAAGAACCCAGAGTCTTTGTGCACAATTCAGGTTTTTGTTTAAATTTTGCAGTTTAATGCTTCGTGTAGCGCTGCAGTAGTCCTGGGAGTCTTCGTGACAGCGAGGCTTTGGGATGCGCAGATCCATCTGTATTTTAAGAGGCCCTGGCGCCTGTTGTCACCTGCTTTCCTGCCTGTGCCAAGCCCGGGGCCGATCCTGGCAGTGTGGCATTGCTGGTTGCAGGACGCAAGCACGGCACAGCCTGTACAGAGCGCAGTAATACCTTCTGCCAGGCTGAATCGGGTAGCTGCAGAAACCAGACATAATCCCGAGGGGTTTTTTGGGGGCTTCTCATGGTCTGCATTCCTAAAAGCACGTATTTGCAGCAACGCCAGATTTATTTAATTCCTCTGCCTGGTGCGAGGCACGGGGAATGCCACCTGCCTCCTCGCCCCGCACCCGTGCGAGCCCGTCCCTCTGCCCCTCCGCAGGGCTGTTGCCGGCTCGTGGCAGCGTTTTGGAGCTGGAGCAGATGATCAAATCGACCACGGGGAAAAGCGCCCTGCTCTCCTACAGCTGGTACGGGTGTTTCTGTGGCATCGGGGGCAGAGGGACCCCGGTGGACTCCACAGACCGGTGAGTACCTGGAAAAACATCACCACTCGCCGCCCTGGTGCAGGGCGTGCGCGGGGGTCCCTAGAAAAGCTCCTCGCTGGCAGCCTGCCGCCGCTGGTTCTGCACCGGTCCCCAGCCACGTCTTGCTTCTGCCTTGTCATCCCCTCCTCCTGGTCACCTTAAATTTGAGGTTGGACCTTCTTTTACCTTCCAAGCGTGGCGAGGGAGTGTTCGGGGGCAGCGGTTTGACATGGTGTCCCCCGCAGGTGCTGCCATGCCCACGACTGCTGCTACAGGAGGCTGCGAGAGGGCAACTGCAGACCCCTGATAACCCCCTACGGCTTCGACATCGCCGATGGAGACATCGTCTGTGGTGAGTACCGCTGAGCAGGGGGATCCCACGGCGGTGGGGAACCAGCACCGCTCCCCACGACACCCCAGCCCCGCAGCAGGGCATCCCCCCGGGGGATGAAACCAGCCTGATGCCGGGTGCGTATGAGAGGACGCAGCGTACGATAAATAAATGGGCACGGCGAGGGATGCAGGCAGGTTGGAGAGGGTGAGCACCGGGACACGCTTCTTCACGCGCTTCCCCCAGGCAGCTCCAGGCATCGGGGGTGCTCCAAGGGGACCCCATCGCCGATGGCAGCTGGGAAAGCCACCGCACAGCGCCCTGTTTTTTCCCCCGCAGGTAACGAGCAGAGCTGGTGCAAGAGAGAGACCTGCCTATGCGACAAGGCGGTGGCTTCGTGTTTCGCGAGCGCTTTGCATTCCTACAACAAATCCTACCGCTTCTATTTCAAGCTGAAATGCCGAGGAAGTAAACTCCAGTGCTGAGGAGGAGAAATCTGCACCCGAGGTTGCAGATTTTGACTGGTCTTCCCCATCGCTACAGAAACAAAAGCCTGATGTAGGGGCCGAGCGGAGCCAGAGCGGGCAAGTCTCCCCGCAAGGAGGAAGGGCACGTGCCCGTTACCGATGGAGGTCCCTCCAGTTCCCAGAAAGACACGTCAGCTTCCATTTTTTTGTCCCTTCCTCCTCTCTTTTCTCATTTTGTTTTCATTTCCCGGCAAAGCTAATTCAATAAAAGGTATTTGAAATTATTCTCTCTGGTGCTTTTCTGTAAGAGCCACTGAGATTAAGGCACCGCGACGGTGGCACCTGGGCTGCCGCGTTGGGAGAGGACTTTTGCATCTCACACCTCAGCCACATCACCTGCCCGACACCCCAATGCTCCCGTGGCCCCGACGGCAGCCCGAGAAACGAGGACAAATTGATGCACTCAGGTAAAACTCCCTGGGGTTTGTTAACAACAGAACTCCCCAGCTGCAAGCCCTGATGGCAGTCGGGTTTTTTTGGCTTCTCCCAACACCCCGTCCTGCTAACTGAACTCTCTGCCAGAGCTAAAACACAGCGTTACATTAAGGTGAGGTAGGGCCAAAAGGTGTTTTTACGTGAATAATGGAAGTGGGAAAATGTAGGAGACAATTTGAGACTCTCCTCTGACCTTACATAAAAAGGGTGGCCAAAATTAAAGCTAAAGAATAGTTACCGCAGAGGGGGACAGATTTCGAAACCTCGTCCATCCCAAGGCGCGTGCCAGTTTAAGGGGGCAGTTAAGTTGGTGACTAAATGTTTTCTCTGTAAGGGATGGGTGCTACGTAGGGGTTGCAGTGAGGAGATGGAAATACAGAGAGAAATAAAGGGAAGTTGCGTTCGCTCATCCCAAAACGTCCATTTTATTTCATTCTCCTCCCATGGTGGGAAGTGTTTAACCGTGCAGTAACCCCGTAACCCCGTGTTTCTGGGAACCGCACACTTAGCGATGCTTTTATTGTTGTCCATATACTTTTCCCAAAGAACCGATAACTTGCCCTGAATCACCTTCGCAGCGGGGCAGAGGGACAGTTCCCAAGCCATACAACCCTTCAAAAACCCCAAACCCGCTTTGTTCGTGGCTGTCGGGATGCAAAAGCTGAATCAGGGCTATTATTTCCCCCCTGGATACGGCACCGTGGTGTCGGGGAGGGCAGAAAAAAACACCCTCGGGCATCTAGAGCCGGGGACAGAGCGCGTTGGCTTCCTCCTCGGGGTGGAAATGATGCTGCTTTGCCAGCTCATCCCACGCAACACCGCTCCCCGTGCGTGGGGTACGGAGACGGAGTGTTGGGGGGATTTCTTGCGTTCCTGTAAAGGGGAAGGGCAGCACTTTCTCATTTGCAGAAGAGCCCAGTCAGCAAGATTTGGGCAAAACGAGCATCCAACAGTGGGGAGCAAAGCCTATATAAAGCAAGCCCTGTTGGCTGCAGGGTCCCACAAGCAAGAGGCGGCTTTCCCGAGGTGAGTGGGGCTGGAGGAAGGCTTTTCCTCCCTTTCCTCCTTTACCCAAAAGCTGCGGTGCAAGCGGGGAGTGAGGTCCGTGCCGGGAAAGCGAAGGAGAGGCTACCGGAGATGCCAGCCCAGCGGCAGAGCGGTGGGATGCAGCCCTCCAGGACTGATTGTTCCTCCAACTTTTCTTCCTTTCCCTTCATTTTGCCTTTTCCCGCCCCGATTCCCATCGCTCCCATCCCCGAGGCGGCAGCGCTTTGTGCCGAAGCGACGGTGACGGGCGCATCCTCACCCCCCCACCCCCCATCTCCCCTAATCCCCAGAGGCGGGGAGCATCTCTGCCTCCAGGCGAGGGGGGGAAGTAAAAGAAGAAAGTGGTTGATATAATGGGGAAATAGTTTGGTTTCCTTTCCCAGGGCTGTCGGAAAGATGAAGTCTCTCCTCGCCTTCGCTGTGCTGGTTGCTTGGGGTGAGTGTCCTGGCTCGCACCAGTCCCACGGCTCTCTGTGCAGTTACAATTAGGACCAGGCTGGTGATTTCTTAACCATTCCCCATCACCACCTCTCCCAAACACGCAACAACGCTCCCGCACCGCGCTGGGGATAAGTTTTCTCTCCATTGCATCTCCTCATTTTTAAGACATCACCAGCTGGGTACCAGTTTGGGCCCCAGGGGGATGGGGATGCTGCTGGGGAGCTGGCTGTCGGCGTGAGCCCCACTGTTTCCCTCCCCGCCACCAGGTTTGTCCCCGGCTCGCGGGAGCCTCTGGGATCTCCACAAGATGATCACGGGGGCAACAGGGAGAAACGCTGTGTGGTATTACTCCTTCTACGGCTGCTACTGCGGTTTTGGGGGCAAGGGGCAGCCCAAGGATGCCACCGACAGGTAAGCGCCCACTTCAAAATCTCCCTGCCTGGACACGTCCTTGCACGGTGTCAAATTTGGGGGTGGGGGCGGGGGAGGAGGGGAAAAAAAGCCCCAACCCCCAAAGCCTCGAGCTCCCGTACAGATGCTGCCGGCTGCACGATATCTGCTACAACAACCTCCTGAGCTACGGCTGCAATGCCAAAGTGCAGGGCTACCGCTACGGCTGGCACAGAAACAGCCCCTTCTGCGGTAAGTAGGACCCTTCCCTGGCAAAGGGGGTGTCACACCCCCCACAGCCCCCCCCCCCCTAAAAGCTGGGGCTGACCCTGGGGTCCCATCTGCCGGCAGGAGAGGGCTCCTGGTGCTCCCAGCACTCCTGCCAGTGCGACCGCAGCCTGGCGATCTGCCTGAAGCAAAACATCAGGAGCTACAACAAACTCTTCCTCTTCTACCCCAAACACCAGTGCCGGTGATGGGAGCCGGGATGCGGGGCCGGAGCACGCGCGTGGGTTCCCTATCCCGATCGTCCTGCGTCCCTGCCTGCCCGGACAACGTCAGCGCCGCTGTAAATTTAATCAACGTGAAAATAAACAATGTGCTTAAACCGCCCCGCTCCTCTGAGAGCTGCTGCTGGGCGGAGAGAGAAATCCCCCTAAACCCTCAACACCACCATCTTCCCCAAACTTTGCAAAAACTCCGTCTCGGCCCCTGCGTCACCGCGGGCTGCAGCCCACGGGGAGAGGAGGAGGAGAGGGGGGGGTTTGGCCGGCGAGGGAAGGGGCGTAGCACAAAGTGTTTTGGGGACCGAGGAGTCATTTCGGAGTTCGCAGTTGAGAGCCCGCGGGTGGGACGCGGAGGGCAGCATCTCCTCGGGAGGACAGGTCGGCGGCGAGGAAGCGGAGCCGGAGCGATCCCCCCGGTGAGCAGCTCCCACCCTCACCCC